CCTGCCTCCTGCCCCCCCTCCCCAGCCCCGTCCCCCCGCACGGCCCGTCCCGCACCGCTCCCGTTCAGCTCCTTCCACCTCTCTCGGGACTCGTTCTACACCGAGATCACAGGACGGCTGAAGGCAGAGAGACCCCCCCGGGCTCTGCTCCCCGGCTCCCAGACCCAACTCCCACCTCTCCTCCTAGGGGAGGGGCTCCCCGGGGACGTGCCGGAGCCGGTGCCGGTACCGGAGGAGGTGGGAACTGCCGGTGAAGCCCTTCCCGCACTCGGAGCACCCGTAGGGCTCCTCCCCGGTGCGGACCCGCCGGTGCTTCATCAGCTCGGAGCTCTGGCTGAAGCTCTTCCCACGCTGCGGGCACTGGAAGGGTTTCTCCCCCGTGTGAGTTCCCTCTTCCCACACCCGGCACACTCGCAGGGCTTCTCCCCTGGTGCTGGATCAGCTTGGAGCTGCCGCTGAAGCTCTTCCTGCACTCAGAGCACTCGTAGGGCCTCTCCCCCGTGTTGGATCCTCTGGTCCTGCCAGAAACTCTCCCCACATTCCGGGTAGGAAAAGGGTTTCTCTCCAGTGTGGATCCTCTGGTTGGAGCTCACCTGGAAGCTCTTCCCGCAGTCCCCACGGATCATCAGTCTCCCCACAGAAGGATTTCTCTGCTGGATGGTATCTGGCAGGCTCCTGAAGCTTTTCCCACTCGGCTTTGCCTCTTTCCCAGAGGTCTCTGAACCCTTTCTGACCTGTGTGGGAGCACTGGGTCCTGTGCAGGGCTCTGGGAACCCTTCTCCTTGGAGAGTCCTGAGAGGAAACCCTCGGGCTCCGCTGGCCCAGGGATGTCTTGGTGGGCATTCTCCTCTTTCTTGCTCATAACCCCATCTTCTGCTGCAATAAAATGAGAATCCAGGGAGAAGTCACAGGCAGTAGAGCCCCTGGAGAGGAACCTGGGCAGATAAATCCTGCAGGTACCTCTGAAACCCTCTTCTGGGGGACAGGAGCTGAAGCACAGCAACACCTTCCACCTCTCCCAAGAACTTTGTGTTTCATCAAACAGCTTTTGTGCCATCAATGCCTCTTGAAAGAAATGTTATGCTGAACTTATGTGAACAATCACCAAAAACCAAACAAGTACATTGGAAATGCACTTCCAGAACAGCTCCAGCCCCCTTCTGAAGAACTGCAGGAGGGATTG